ATCAAATTACAGAATATGTACAGTACAGTCATTCGGTTATTTTAAGTGGTATAAAAATGCCAGTTCTAAGATATAGGAAAATAACATAAGAGCCGGTTCTAAAACAAAGCAATTTGCTGTTTTTGAATCGGCACAAATGTTATTTCCTATGTTTTCGAATCGGCCAACGTTGAATACCAACCAGCAGCATCGTTGGTCATCGTCGTCGTTGTCGTACGCGTGCCACATATTTTGGTGTGCGTTTGCGTGTGTTTAGTATTATGAACGAGGGGAGAGATGTGAACGAACGAACGAGAGAAAGTGCAGTATATATGTATAAAAATGCATTACTCTTTCTCCTCTCTGTGTTAAGTTTCCCAACCTTCAGATTGAATAAGATGAACAGATGAAAGTAATTTAACTGTAACGCGAACTTTTTTATGCATTTTAGTTGATACATTAGGAACACGCTTAGATTTCCTAAAACTACGACGTAATGTTCGTAGCGAAGACGCTTGCAGATATCAGTAAACCTAGTTTTACAATTGGTCGCTTATAAACTCCTGATGTCGTCTTCAAGATTACTGATCTTACCAGGCCATGATCCCCAGGCAATATTTCTTGCACACCACTTAGTTTCCATTTTAACGGCGACAAGTTTTCTTCCTTGACTATTACTAAGTCACCCACAATTAAATTTTTATTTTGCGTTAACCACTTAGATCGATTTATAAATGTATCTATATATTCCGCTTGCCATCTTTCCCAAAAATGCTGAATCATTTTTTGTAAATGGTTCCAACGATCTAAACGATTTGTTGGAACTTTCCTGTAATCCTGTTTGTTCGAAGTATGAATAAAACACGCATCAGTTACCTCGTCTATATCCCTCTTTAGTAATACACGAACTGATTTTAAACTTGCTAACCGGTCGGCGAGAGAAAGTGGTTGTAGACTTTCAACTTCCTTTTTTATTTCCTTTGCGCCAGCAGCTTCCTTGGTGGCGTCCTGTTCAGTCACCGTCATTATTCTCCCCTCAAGCAGTGCTTTAATATCATCACGCAGTCCAGTAATCTCTGTTTTCGTTGATTCCCATGTGGCAGCAGCGTGGTCCGGCACATCGTCAAAGCTCGTCGATTCCCAAACGGTGATCGCGGTTTTCGCAGACTGGACCGCTTCGTCCAACTTCTTGTTCAACGCCTCGAGCGTGGCTGTATTTAAGAAGTCCGGTGTTACTGCTTCTTTAAGCCTTTTCAGCGTATCGATCTCTTTGTCAGGAATTCTAACTAATGCTTCTCCTATTAGAAAATGACCCGGAGTTAAAACATTGAGTGAAGTCGGATCATTATTCAGTGCACACAAAGGTCTAGAGTTGACGCATGCTTCCGCCTGGCACAAAACTGTAGAGAATTCTTCAAAAGTTAGTGTCGTTTCGCCAATTACCCTTATAAGATGATGTTTCACGGATTTAACTGCTGCTTCGTAGATTCCTCCCTGGTGTGGAGCGCCTGGTGTAGTGAAAGTCCACTTGAAATTGAATTGCTCTTCCATTTCTCCTGATTTTTGTTCGAGCTGCTCTACAATTGATCGCAAGTAATTATTTCCTCCAACAAAATTGGTACCATTATTCGAAATGATTCTTTTAACTGGATGAATACCGGGAAGATGAAATTTTCAGCAACTGTTTAATAAAAAAATACGAGACTTCTCTTGCTAAATCTTGGATTATATAAAGATTGAAAAATCGAAGAATAAATTCTTCTTACGAATTCCTGTTCCCATTGATATATGCGCCATGTTCAATCAGAAATTTAACAATTTCCACAGAATCTTATTGGTGCAATGTCTAACTGTGCTATAATCTAAAAAATTAAAACGTGTATCATTTCTCATCATTAGTTAAATGTACATTATTTATGCAAAGGAGCTGTAATACTCCTGTTCTGATGATTATTTCTTTTCCGTTAACAATGTTCAGATTAACATCACACAAAACGATTAAAATATTAAAACAAACCGCAATATTTCCAAAGTTAAGTATCTCATAAATGCTTCAACTTCGGAAATATTCATAAATAAGAAAAGTAGTATAGAATTAGCGTTTATTCGGGAACCAGTTTTTTTGACCTCCCCAAATAACCACTAAATCTCAATTATCGTAATTATCTGTCATAAGAGAGAGTGTATGCGTTGTGGCGACTAAACTTTCCTACTCCAAATCACCACTGTCCTACTCCAAAGTAACATAGAGATAAAGTAGGAAGAGAGATATTTATCGGTAACGTATATAAGGATATGGTATTATTGTATAATTGTCTTCTCAACAATAATGATCTATATTATGATATGTTAATGACACTTGTATGCATGCAAAAAGCGACGGTTACGATTGCATACATTCATTGCTAGAGATTATCGAATGCGAACGAAAGAAAAAAGTAACAGAGAACGACAAAACAATTGCGTGCCAATGCACGGTAATGGTAAAACGATCGATTGCATGCATTCTTTGCTTCGAATGCGATCGAAAGAAAGAAAGAAAGAAAAAAGGGATGTTACATCGATGAATACATTCACATTGCTTGTTACTAGAGATGAAATGTGCTCGTTATTCACGTTGTTTGAAATGTGATTGCATGAAATGTTATATTGAAATATATAATTACAGTCACATTTGAAGAATAAGCAGAAGGCGAAACAGGAAAGCAGAGCGAAACCGATGAGCAGTATTAGGATTTTGATTTTGTTCTTTACGATCGTCATGAACATTCTACCGAACCATTTACCAACGTTGACACAAAACGATGCAGGTTCCGCATCTTCGCAGTGGAAATATATTGAAACGCTGCTGCTGTCACTATCCTCATGAGTCTCCTCCTCCTGTTGTTGGGGTTTAAGACACGTTATTTTTTGCAACTATACACTTACACGTACGCACTTGCAAATAATCTTATGCCAAAATCACGCATTTTCTTAATGAAAGAAATGTATCTCTCTGAATTCTGTGGTATTATCGTTATTTCGCCTGGGGCTTCCTTGCTAGTTGCAAGTTTTTTAATGAGTAAATGTGAATCATATCCGGATAAATTATGCATTACAACTGGAATGGTTCGACTAATTTGATATTGTAAATTGCATGATTGATGTGCGGCTCCTCTATAGAGACCTGATATATGACAATAATCTCTGACTCAAATATCCGATTGTTCATGAACATCCCGATCAAGGAAACTTTTTTTGCATATATGACAATTTGATATTCTAAAATTCTTATAAATATCTTTCTTCTTCTTCGGTCAAAGGATTCATCGGTTTTTTATCCTCAAAAAAGTCAAAGACTTTAATTGCAATTTTTGTCAATTCACTCATAAACCAATCAACGCAGTTTACTCCACGATAACTCGCATAGTATGATTTTGATTCATTGTTTTCATATTTGAAATAATATCCAATACTATGTACTTCATGATGTTGATGAGCGTGTGTTGAACAATTGATGTTAAAGACAGGCGTTTCAGGGTCCTTCAACAAAGCTTCATTGTCTGCATATATGATGAAAGGTATTTTAAGTTCATTTTTGTAATTTTTGAACGATTCAAAGTTCTTTCCAACACTCGGCATTTCAATTGCACATTCGTTCATACTTTCAAATGTTATTTTATGTTTTTTTAATTTCTCATGTGAATTGAAATGGATCAAACAACGGTCGCATATCCATTTTTTATGCTCATATTTGCTCATCTGCGATCCCACTAGTTTACCCAAATTTTTTTATCCAGCAGTAATGTGAATGTGTACCTGCTTCATGTACCTCTTTGCTGTGTGCGGGTGTTGCTTCTGTAAGCATGAGCAAATGAATGTAATGTTTTTCAATCGGTTTCACAGCTAGAAAGCGAGGGCATACACATTTTTTTTCCGAATCGAAATAGTACACATTAATAGCAATGTGCTCATTCTGCTGCATAAATTTCTCAATTTGATTGAGTCGCACTGGGAAGTCGATTCCGTTGAAATTCAGTTCATTTGCCCAGAAACGATAACTTGCAGCATCATTCACTTTTTTCGGATCTTCAGCATACATTTCATTATGATGTAAAGCTGCTAAAATTGACCATTTGAAGCATAAATCGTATGTATTTTTCAAATTCACGATCGCTCTCTTGTTTTTCTAACATTTTCGGTAGCTCAATAAATCCCGAACCTCGCAATGGCTCATATTTAAACATCTGTACACGCTAATAACCGCTAATTCTATACTACTGATGGGTTGTCGCCCTTCTTTGAAGTGGGCCAAATATTTTGGCCTCTTAGACATGGGAAGAGCCTTCCAAAATGCGACATTTTGCGCCGTGCCGAACTGGGCTATTTCGCGATCGCTGGTGGACAGAGCTGGTGGATCGCTGGTGTAATTCATGCTATAATGTAAGAATGTAAGAGAAAGATAAACACGAGTTGTTTTGTTGAGAGTTAAGTCAAGAGTGTCCTGCCTTTATTCATATTCATACATTGTTAACTCGTATGCACTCACGCACGCGGCTAGCGGCGCGTTCATGCGCTACACTTCCCTTCTTTCTGAAGAAAGAAAAGTGTATTACAATATGTTAGCGTTTTACAATTTTCTATCTCATTTTTTCCCTTCACCGTTTTTATTTTTTTTAATCATTTATTTGACATGTTTTTAAGTGCTATTATCTGTGCCATTCTTGTTTAGTTTCTTGTGTTCGCCTCGACTCATTTTATTTTGTATTTATTGTTTATGCATTTTTTTCACAAATTTGAATTCTTTGTGTCTTTTCTTATTTGTATTTCGCTGTGTATAACATTGTGATTCAATCTATTGACGCTAACAAATAAATTCAATGAATTTTTTTCAATTATTGCTGTTTTAATTTTGTTTTTTTTTGCATTTATTCAAAGCATCAAATATTTTCTATTGGCGAAATTTATTAAATTCTATTCAATTGCATTCACTTATGCGATCGCAATGGCCATCTCTTATCAATACACAGTAAGAAATAGTAGCAATCATTTCATAATATTAACACAGCTACGATACACAACCACCAAATCGACACTTGTTGAATAATTTTCTGTTTCAATCCTCTCTTTTATCAAGTTTGCCCAATCGTTTGCGCGAACTGCTTTTAATGCGCAACAGAAACCATATCTGGTTAACTCTTCCATATCCTCGATAAAAACTGCAAAGCTATGACGTGGAAATCCCCAGTAGTCCGAATCGTAGTCAGAGCCGAAGTAGTCCGAATCGTAGTCAGAGCTGTGATCACTCATAATGCTGCCAAATAATTTTTTTTAACTGCTCTCGTCAAATGAATAATAACTTAGCTGAAATAAATTTTGAATTAAAAATTCCAAATCTTTTCATTTCGGCTCATTCAATTTTCAATGATAACACGAAGTTTGGCGTGATAAACGCCGGCTGTTATCATTTAAACTGGATGAATACCGGGAAGATGAAATTTTCAGCAACTGTTTAATAAAAATACGAGACTTCTCTTGCTAAATCTTGGATTGTATAAAGATTGAAAAATCGAAGAATAAATTCTTCTTACGAATTCCCGTTCCCATTGATGCGCCATGTTCAATCAGAAATTTAACAATTTCCACAGAATCTTATTGGTCCTCGTCATCGCTTGAAATATATATTTCCTCCAGTTGCTGTAACTTGCTTGAAACACCAGGCACTGGTAGATTTATTTCCTGCTCTTGTTTCACTGGTGATTCCGCGAAAATTTTCGCGGGTTTTGGCATAATACCCGCGCCAGAAATTGTGTTTTGAAAGAAATTTCGGGCGGTCATTCTTGTTTATTTCTTGGTATTTTTGCTCGAAGTCGTTTTTCAATAGTGACCACTGCTGTGCAGCAATTTCGCTCGCCTGTTCCGAACACTCTGGTTTACCTTTTGTAAATTGCTCTAATTCCCGCAAATTTTTAAAGAATTCCGCTCTTTGCGTTTCGAACTCGTTTGAGATACTCATTGTATTTTAAAAATTGAAACGTGTATCATTTCTTATCAATAGTAAAATGTACATTATTCATGCAAAGGAGCTGTAATACAACAAAACAATGTTCAGATTAACATCACACAAACGATTAAAATATTAAAACAAACCGCAATATTTCCAAAGTTAAGTATCTCATAAATGCTTCAACTTCGGAAATATTCATAAATAAGAAAATAAAATGCATTACTTTTATCGTGAGACATACGTAACTATTAATACATAGGAATTGTACATACACTGTATAATCAATTTTAAAACATGTTGCTTACACTAAGAAATTCTATTTTATCGAGTCTTACTCTTTTTTTTTCTTCAAAAAGTCAAATTTTTTTTTGTTAAAAACTATTTGCTCAGTCTATGAAACAAACCAATTTGATTAATTGTTAAGGTATGCTTTCGGCTTATAGAAAAATAGCCATTTTCTGTAAAAGGCAATCAACACACTCACTCTTTGATTGATATTCAGAAGAGAATAAATTGAGAATAAAAATGTAAGAAAAAGTCAGGAAAAAAATGATAGAAAATTGCCATCGACGATCATTAGTGTCGAAATTTGTGAGGTTGTGTGTTCTTTTTTTTTAAATTGGTTGTCATTGCAATGGAATGCCAACACAATAAAATCAAAAATCGCATGTCTGTATAATATTAAACGCATTCAATATAACGCGACACTAGCAATCGTCGATAGGTATTGTATCAATCATTAGTTAAGAGCATAAATTTAAGAAAAGCGAACACGCAGCAGAGATCTTCACATGTTAAAAGCAACTTAGCGGCATAGCATGGAACGGCACATCTTTTGGTGTTCAGTTTGGTGAGTTCAAGCATCATTTAAAATTATTCATTTTTAAATTTGTTTACATTTTTACCAAAAAAAATCGGCGTAATAATGAAATTCTACCGTTATTCAACTCATTTTCATGTTTTAAAGGTCGTCAAAATAATCATTTCTTTGTTCTTTCTATTTCAACAGGTCAAAATAACAGAGCTAAAAGATTTGACCACGTCGGAAATACATCACTCAGCGAATGGCACCTAAAATATTGTTCTTCGCTTTGTATCAACACAAAAATTAGCAAAACTTCGGAAAAATACTAGAAAATAGAGAAGGCGCTTTGGTTCACAACATCTTTTGAACGATGAGTCCCATTTAAGTCTTCAATCGAACAATAGTTTATTAACAACGCAAAAATGCCCCAAGAACAAACATCCCATGATGACCAAATATTAATAAAAATCCCATGATTGCCTTTGATATGACTCGACTCAGAAATTTCCTGGAGAAATAATCACAAACAAAAAAATGCTATGTGTTCCTGGGTCCCTTGCGACCATAATGTAAGTATAAATTAATGAACCTATTAAATGCACTGATATAATCAAATCTGACAGTTCTATTCATTTAAAACCCGATTTTAATGTTCATAATTCGTATTTCTCCACTTACAGACGTAAATTTGGTCAAGTCGTCGATAGGACATTCGAATTGTACGCGTACAAATTATGTGCGTATTGTCATCGATGTCTAGAAGTACTCTGATGATGTGTACGAGTTAAGAAACAACACAAATTCAGCCAATCAACATACTGTTCCTTTGGACATATCGCGAATATCCTGTACCACTCTTTATATCACTTCAAATTTGATCCAGAATCTGGATGCCAGATTTCAAGCCGAATGATACTAAACCGATCCAAACCGACTGAGAAAGGAAATGAACAAGAAAGACATGGTTTGGATTGAATTTGCAACGATTCAGATGAATTGTTTGCAAACGTGCAGAAGACGTCACAACGATTAGGTTAGTATTGAAATGAAATAGACGTACTTCATAAATAAAATCTCTTTAAATTTTGTTCAACTTACAAAATTCTGATTAAAATGTCTGAAATTCACTCTAAAACGTAATACTCTTTTTTTTTGCAGATGCATCAGACTATCATGCACTAATGTGACAGTCTACACTTTGCTGTTTTATCATCGATTTGATGAAAGCGCCTCAATTTATAACCTTCTTCAGAAATAATCAATCGAAGACAGGTAGATGAGACAAGGGATTCCCGACAGAAAACTGTAAGTATTTAAAGAAAAGGAAACAATTCAATTCCGAAACAATAAAGTCGATTTTTTGTTGTTGAAAAAAATGAGTAAACACGTTTTTCTTCTCTTAACAGGAACACTATTTCATTAATTGATGGAAGCCGCTAATTCATTTTCCTTGCCAAAACAACGACGTGCGATTTAATGAACCAAAAGCTACAAACACCTGAAGTGCTCGACCATCGGCTGTAATTTCTCTTCAAATTAGTAGTTTCAGAAGTTGAAATAAAAACTTAAATAATTTTATAATGAATTAAATTTTTGTTCAGATTTTTCAATTTAGGGTTTTTGTTCTCGAAAAAAAAGAATCAATTGTATGAAGAATTTGAAAAATCTGAACAATGTCTCGATGTGTGAACAAACAATAGAATTATCTCAAATAAGGCAAAATTAAGTCAATGGAATGACACTATAAAATCCATTGCTAAATAAAAAATTCAACTGATTATTACTTTCAATTCAGACAAAACCACCTGCTTATTGTCAGATTTTGAACAATTGTAGAGCGTCATCAATAATAGACGGCAAAATCATCTGTAAATAGCCGTAAATGATTTCGATCATTCGACATATTGTGAAATGTTGCGAAAGCACACCAATCAGTACTGAATTTTGTCATCATTTATGGACGGCGCTCTACAATTTCACACTTTGTATTTTGTATGTATTCAATACAAGATTATATGCGTGTGGACAAACCAATAAAGCTACTATTTCCAAGCCGAACGATCGCAATTATTATAATCGGTTACAATCTTCTAAAAGAATGGCCAATGGCCATGGATCACGTTTTCTTGAAAATAGTACTTTTCCATAGAAATCAGATAGAGTTAAAGATAGCAAAATATTAACATAAAATGTATAAGTATATTAGAATATAAGAGAAAAGATAAGAAGGACAATTACATTCTCAAACAATGAATGGTTGAATGAAAATTGTCAATTGCCACACTCTTGAGCATAGAGCTAATTGGACCGAGAAAAAACTATCGGCAAATATAATTCTTAAGAGATGTTAATAATATGATCGGGCTCAAGTTGAGAAAAATGAAAAAAAAAATTACATTTTGTTGAATGTTCATTGTAAGATGATTGACTTTTGTAAATAAAGACTGAGATTTTTCATTTTACGAACCGATGTCTTTCCTTTGATTCATATATTTTAAAAAAAATTATAATTCGAAATGAATAAAATGTTATTTTGTGCAGCTCATGAATGTTGTTTTATTTACATTTGGACAGTTTTTCATCAGAAATGCCTATTTTTGTGGTTCTATGTCCGTCCCAACGTCTTTCTTTGTCATCGTAGCTTTGCCATGTTTCCATTCATTGTACGTTTGTGATTGTTTTCGTATGGTCGCCCAACGAAAGAAATGAGAAAAATGCACCACATCACACACATGTGAAGGCTATTTTTTATCATCGCACATAAGACGAATATCTTTTTAAGTCAATTCAGCGTGGCATTTTGTTTCATTCCATATTTTACGGAGCAACGAAGTTTTCAAAGTATTTTTCTCAATTAAAACGTAGGTCAAAAATTTCATTCAGCGTTTTCGAAGACGGATACACAAAAGCAAAGCCATAAAATTAGCTCTGAGTAGTTACCATTTAAATCGTTTCGATATACCAGCGAAAATTAAAATACGGAGAACTCATAGTGAAGCGAAAAAAAATCGAAGTGACGACAATAGCAGTTGACGATAAAAAATAAAGCAAAAACAAATGCGATAAATTATCGCCGACAGTATTGACGGTTTGAGTGCGTTTGCAAAAAAATCTTCAACCCAACGAGGCTCAATAATGCCTATGTCCATTGGATGTATATTGTGCATTCAAGTTAGTATATATGTTACAAATATATGCACCATTCCGTATAAATAGGGTTTAGAACTTATACATCGTCATGCCAGATCCACTTTCCAACGGTTTCTTTATATACTAGTAATGAACAAAACCAAATTTCTATCAGCCGGCATGCTATGCAGGCAGCAATCCTATATATATATATTACGTTGGCAGCGGTCTGTATGTGTGAGTCAGAGTGAGTGTGTAACAAACACACTTACAAAATAGCATCTGTGTGAGCCCATTTGCAACTGCATTTGAGTAGGCTATGTGTTCGTGCACTGCACACAATGCGTTCTCTGAATGAGACACATAACAGACAAATATGTACGATGATGTGTATGCAACCAAAATACATGCTCACCTCAAATGCACATACTAAATCGGTGAGCTCAGAGTTCACCTTGTGGTCAATGTTTTATTTTCATGGAATAAATGGCATCGAGAACAGAAAATACGCCGCATATCGGAAGGCTTTGTGAAAACAGTGAATTCCTTATTGGTTTGAATTTTTCTGAGCCAAGAAGTGATGTAGACTCATTTTGCTCGACTGAAAAACTACACATTCTACGATTCGTGTCTACAAACAGACTTTTTTTTCCGAAAAGTAAACAAAAAAATTGACACGAATCCAATTCAAAATACACATTTACAGAGGCTTGATTTAAAAACGCATGAAATATGTTTTTTTTGCTATAGCGTATTATCGTTTGTGAGTTTATTTTTAGATAAAGAACATACAATTCGCTCTCCAGACACGCGATAAGACAGCCCAAGAGTCATTTTTTCATTATTTTAATCGTACAAATTGAACGTAATGTTCATCACCAGACTCATTAAATTACAGAGTTTTTCCAAATGAAATCGCCAAATTCTAAAAAAAACGAAACGATTTCGTCGAATCGAGTGAATACGAAATCACTGAAATGTATTTTGAATGCCGCATGTGATAAATGAGAATAGATGAGATTGCTGCGACGAAAGTCACAAAAAATGTCGTTTGGTTCGTTTCATTTATTCCACCAAAAACGAGCTCGTTAGTGTGAGCTGAAAAAAAATAATACGAATAAAACACAAACACAAGGAAATGAGATAAGTGCGTTTGTTTGTTCGGGTTTCGGATCGTATTGGTGGTGAAGCGAAAGTAAAATACGAAGATACGAACGCCTATGTTAGATCCATATTCATATACATATGTTAAATCATAGAAACCAACATATATATCGCGAGTAACACGACCGTTCCTGTATGCGTGAGGCGAAGAAAGAACAGAAAAAATAAATCCAGTGCACACATGTGTATGACATGTCTACGCACAACTACACATAAACACACATGAGCAACGCAATCCTATATGGAATCAAGACCGAATATTGTGAATGTAAGAATGTGTTAGTGATGGGTATTTGTGTTTGTCGTTGAAATGCCGCTAGAGTGGACACAGATTCTCACTTTGACATTCAGTATAGAATCGTCTATTTACCAGTTCGGTGGTTACGCAAGAACTTTTGACTGCGAACCGTTGGTTGAAAAAAATTATTTTGTTCGTTTTTTTGGCTCGAAAAAAGTGTTTTTCATTAGAAAATACAATGTTAAAAAAATTCGAATCGAACAACGAACAAAATAATTTTTTTTTCAACCATGTGGAACGGTCGACAGTATAAGTGGATATATATGGAAATGAAATTATTTTATATATAAAAAGAGTGAAGTGAGCTGGATTATAATTAGTAGTAAGCTCGGCAATTACTGCGCGTAAGTTTTTTTACGCCAGAACCATATTTAACTCATTTCAAATCGGCATATTTGCATTGGATGAAAAATCGAAGGCCCGAGAGGGAATGAGTTGATTAGAAAAAAACGGCTACGACTGACATAGTTAAAGTTAATGTATACACACAGATTTTTGATTTAAACATTTTTTGCTTTGAGAGGAGAAAAAAAATGTTTGGTTGAGACAACTTAATTTTTGTATGGATTTCGAAAAAAAAAATCGTTCGAAAATCTATACTTATTTCTCGGTGTGTATCAACTCCTTTTCACTCAAACGCCGATTGAGTAAATCTGCACTCACTGATCAGACGGTATAGCTTACTGTGTTCAAATGTTTCTAAAAAAGATGAATAAATAGGACAACTTCGAAATTCAAAATGTGTATGCTTAAACAATCCAATTTTATTGTTTTTTAAATCTCGATCGGAGATTTTTTTTTGGATTTTCACGAGTTTTGTGATCAAAAATGGAGAGTTGACAACAAACCATTCCATTGGGAAAATTCATAGCATTCAAAATAAAAAATTCTTATCGAGATTTAAACCATTTGGATTTGATCATTTCACGATTCAGATCATTTTTTTTTCATTCTAAATGTGAAATATTTTCAGAATTCCGTCACTATTTTTGAACCAAAAAATTCAATTTTTTTTTCTGTTTTCTCAGTTGTTCAAGGATGAGCGATTACGTTAAATATGGCCGATTGTAAGAAATTCGACATCCAATTTCAATCTTCCACAATTGAACCGAAACTTTTTCCTACGTTTATTGAATAAAATCACTACTAATTGCAATTGGCTATAAAATCGGCCAACTACGAATTGAAGCTCTAAACTATGAACTCTGCACAATTTGTTGATAAAAATTCAAGTGATTTTTTCTAAAGCTCAAAAAAACTATCTAAAACAGTCATGGACCAAAAAAAAAACAGTTCCGGAGGATAAATTATATGATTCATCAAATAACGCATTTAAATATTTTTCTTTCACACATCGCTGATTGTAATTTAATGCTAGATTTTTTTTCAATTTCAAGGAACTCGATAACACAACAGGACGATCGTTTGATATTGACGGCGGTTGATTACTGGGAACAAATTTGAAAAACTCAGGTATTTTTTCGAATATTTTCATTTAAATCTTAATTTAAAAATAAACTTGAAATAATTTCAATATTTTTCTGCTTTTTCAGATGCTGTGATGCAAGAGGTTTTTTTTCCAGATGTCTGAGGTAATTTGGGGAAAGTTTTTGAATAGAACAACATTTCTTGGAGGCTATAATTCTGTGGGCGAGATTGAAAGTGGTGTATGTTTCAAACGCTTTTTGTATTGAAATAAGTAGAGTATGTCTCCAAGAGGTGAGCAAATCTTGAAATAATTGATTCATTTCAACAAATAAACGATAACTCTCCGCTGTAAAGTTGTACAGTTTGATTCATATTTACATTTAGGAGAGAGGAAAAATCAAAATGCAAACATGAGAAACTTTTGTTTTGACTATTTGTATCGATTGATTGTATGGAAAATTGAAAAAATCTCAAATTTCGTTGCTTTTTCCAGTTCGATATTAATTTTTTTGATAAACAAATGAAAAAACAAAACATACCAGCCTAAAAAATCCGAAGAAAAAATGTCATATTCACAAATCAAACGAAATAAAAAACATTTCGACTTTCGCCGATATTTTTCATTGGCAAATGAATGGAAAACAAAGCATGCTGAGCTAAAAAAAATCTGAAAAAATGTCACCTGCACAAAATCAAACAAAATAAAAAACAATTTGATTTTTTTCGAATGAAATTTTGAATTGATTTTGTTTTGTTTATTTGATTGAAAATTTAATTTGAACTTGAACAATTCACAATTTGTTTTGCATTTTTTTGTTCCATTCATGAACGAATCAATTCATGATTTGATTGCGATGTAGGACGCTTATGAAGCGGTTATCAACCAAATGGACATCTGGCATCGCTTGCACTTCTGCAAAAGTCTGTGTTCGATTTGGAGCAATATTTTGACCGGTCACGTGTTTATAATTAATTTTGTCTTCTTCGCATGACAAGAAAAAAAACCTTCTGGCAACTTGAAAAAAATCGAAAATTTTGTGGAGAAACGACTTCAGATTTCGATTCCGTTGAATTTAAACACAAAACATTTCGACTTAATCGCTATAATTTGTGCGAATTGTGAATGTATGGTCTCCGTAGTCTAATACTGTTCGATATAATTTTATGAAATCTCTACCAATTATTGCGTCACAAGGAATATTTAATTTACTTGGCATTACATGGAATTTATGAATTATTTTTATATTTTCAATTTCAAGATGCATTTCAACAAAGCCAATTGATTTAATTGGAGTTTTTACCACGCCACAGACTTCTATTAATTCAGATTTGTTTATTTCAATATTTTTATCCAGACTATTTTCTTTAACAATTGATATGTCCGCTTGACTGTCAACTAGGAAGTAAATACCATTTTCAGATATGTTATTCTGCGTAATTTAGGTTCATTGAGAATATTCGTTTCACGTTTTCGATTTTTAAGCTTTCATTATTACTCTTATTCACAACTTAAACTTCTTCACTTGCGTGCTTACGTACGTGTTCGTTTTTGAATTTTGAAAATTCAAATTAAATTCGAAGGACCAAAAATGTATCGATGGAAATAATACATTACAATGAGTTATACTAGTTCAGTTGACTGCTGTAACATAACTGACTTTTTATTAATTCATTCTTACTTGCTAAACATTTGTGTATGACAGGGCGTTGGCCGCTGTATTGCTTTGTAGGCATAATGAATTGGACTTTGAACAATATGCTGAAATTTGTATGAACAATATAGACTTTGAACAATAACATGTTCTTGAACAATAAGAGAGAAATATATTGAATGTATCAAATTACCGTTAGCAGCAGGTTTGCTATAGAATACCAGCTAAATGAATAAGGAGCTGAATGTAAATGAGTGTTACTCGTTCAGAGGTTGAGTTGAGACTAAAGTTTCATTTATTAAACAGTATGCAATTGCCTTACAGGACAACGGCGAACAACGTGAGTGCCGTTACACACTGGACGATTTTCTATATGTCTCTACGTTTTGTATTATTGCCTGTGGCAGAATCAGGTGTGTAGTCATCCACATTACTACGAGAGCGTTTTGCCGATGATTATGAATGTGTGGTCGAACTCGAAGCAGTCGTTCGGGTTTGATCTGATGCAACTTTATTGCCCAATCGCTCCTTAATCGACCGCTTCTGTTCTCCCTTATTCGCAATCGTCTCGGTCGAAGCCTTCGGTGTGCTTGTTATTTGCTGCACATTTGAAGTGGTCGGTTTTGCTCTTCTGTTCTGTTCTGAGCGCCGACGCTACCTTCGTCCTGTTTTTCTGCTCGAAAACGGGCCTTCGCATTCTTTTTTCTTTCATTTCGTTTCTTATTCTTTAATTTTTTATTTTTTTCACCTCCCTCTGAACCCGATGTCACTTCGGTGGTTGAATCCGTTTGCTTTTTGTTTTCAATTGTGTTCACCGCCCGATATTTCATCTGTTCGAATTTCATTTTCTGTCAATATGATGCTATCGTCCATTTTGAACAAATGTTTGCACCTAAAATATCGCTAAAAATATAATAAATTGAGAGAGAATGTATGTTAGAATGTAAATATAGTTATTTAGTGTGGAATAATGAATAAAAACCAAAAATTCGTGCTATCTGTCAAGAGATGGCGTTGCTGTGTGCCCCTGTGTGAGACAGGTGGTCTTTGAATAGATCCAACACAGCACAGACAATCGCACGAAAATCCACTAAGAATCCAATTCTGCACACAAAACACTAAATTATTCAATTAAATCCAGCCAATCGTGGTTGTACACACCCTGGCTGCACTTCTTATCACAATTCCACTTTATTTCCAGTTGGTTTTTTTGATGTACCGGTTTGTCATTTAACCACTTAACCACGCATTCGGTTGCGCGTTTCGTTGTGTCAACATGGAGTCGCGTTGTTGTTGTTTTCTACCGAGTTTATGTATGATTTTGAATACAAATATTATTGACATTCCAATCAGCACAAAAACAATTACTTTTATCCACAATTCCAAGTCATTGTTTGTCACTTTTAATTCATTCTCGTTAATCAAATTA